TCCGGCCCACTTGGGAATAGATTTTCCTCCAGGTGGCCCCTGAGCTAAAATGAGTTTGACAACCCTGCTTTGCACGGATCAGTCGTCCTGGTCCCTTTGCAGAAAAACAGCCCCAAAGCATGATGTTTCCACCCCCATGCTTCACAGTAGGTATGGTGTTCCTTGGATGCAACTCAGCATTCTTTGTCCTCCAAACACGACGAGTTGAGTTTTTACCAAAAAGTTATATTTTGGTTTCATCTGACCATATGACATTCTCCCAATCCTCTTCTGGATCATCCAAATGCACTCTAGCAAACTTCAGACGGGCCTGGACATGTACTGGCTTAAGCAGGGGGACACGTCTGGCACTGCAGTATTTGAGTCCCTGGCGGCGTAGTGTGTTACTGATAATTTTGACCCCACGGGGTGAGATCTTGCGTGGAGCCCCAGATCGAGGGAGATTATCAGTGGTCTTGTATGTCTTCCATTTCCTAATAATTGCTTCCACAGTTGATTTCTTCAAACCAAGCTGCTTACCTATTCCAGATTCAGTCTTCCCAGCCTGGTGCAGGTCTACAATTTTGTTTCTGGTGTCCTTTGACAGCTCTTTGGTCTTGGCCATAGTGAAGTTTGGAGTGTGACTGTTTGAGGTTGTGGACAGGTGTCTTTTATACTGATAACAAGTTCAAACAGGTGCCATTAATACAGGTAACGAGTGGAGGACAGAGGGGCCTCTTAAAGAAGAAGTTACAGGTCTGTGAGAGCCAGAAATCTTGCTTGTTTGTAGGTGACCAAATACTTATTTTCCACCATAATTTGCAAATAAATTCATTAAAAATCCTACAATGTGATTTTCTGGATTTTTTTTCTCAATTTGTCTGTTATAGTTGATGTGTACCTATGATGAAAATTACAGGCCTCTCTCATCTTTTTAAGTGGGAGAACTTGAACAATTGGTGGCTGACTAAATACTTTTTTTCCCCACTGTATGTCTTAACATAGTTTTTAGAAAAGCTAAGGTAGTGGTCAAAAGATGGCTGAGTTATTAACAAATAAAAAATATAATTTTAAGTCTCAATTTAAACCACTGTAAATCCACTCCACAGTGGCCGGTCAACGTGATAATTGTAATTGCTTTCATGGACGTCCCTAAGAAGAACCACACTTAATTTGGTATTGATATCTTAAAAAACAAGGAAACTATTAACAACTCATTCTTTGCATGTTTAACACCAATGCTAAAAATCATCTGCAATCATCTTCTCCTCATAGACCATAAGTCTGATTCACTCCAGATGTTGTATTTAGAATCATGAAATCCATCTTTAATGGTTTTGAGCAAGAATAGTTGCTGCATTCAAATATGGCCGCACTGTACCTATAGATGCAAGTTAGCACATATGCTAATGATAAAGATACTTCATAAATCTTCTTCTCATGAACCATTAATCAGATTGACTCCAGATTTGGTATATAGACTCAATGAATTAGCTTCTAATGAATTTGAGAATGATTAGTTGCTGCATTAAAGTCGGCCACGCTACACCACAAGAAGGCACCATATCACATCAGGGCATAAGAACTGAACCGATGGACATGGAGCCATGAAATTTGGTATGTAAACCTTATATGTGTGTCCTTAGAAGATGTGTGAATATAAAGTCACTGCAAAGTTAGATGGCTGCACCAGACCAGTTGATGGCACTATAAATGTAATTGGCACCAGTGACACCATAGGATACTACAGCAATAACTATTGATCAAGTGAACTTTGTCTCATGCAAATTAATGTTAGATTTAAATTATGCAGACGAACAAAGTTAAATATTGTGCTTAGTATATCTGTATAATCACATATTGTTGCCCTTATGTTGTCTGAATGTAGTGAAAAGTGGATATTTTATTCTGGAAAATTTGAAACCGTAAGTCCTGCTGCTTGGGCAGTCAGTGTATTACAGCTGTGAGAGTGTATTGAAGTATTTTGGAACACTGGAGTGCACTAACTGAGATTTAAATCATTTACACAAACAGATTTCCACAAAATAAAGGCCCAGATTCAAAGATGACTGCAATATACCAATACACTAACACTGAAAATATTTCACAAATCTTAAAATAAACCATTAGTCGAATTGACCCCAGAATTTGTATATAAACTCAATATATTAATTAATGACTTTAAGAATGATTACCTGTTGCATTAAAATAAAACCAACTTACAGCACTAGACTAAACTTCAGTTGCATCATACTTGAGGTATTGAGAGATAAACATAGTAATGCTTTCATTGATTGCACATCAAGGAAGATACACTACATGACCAGAAGTATGTGGACACCTGCTTGTCGAACATCTCATTCCAAAATCATGGGCATTAATATGGAGTTGGTCCCCCCTTTGCTGCTATAACAGCCTCCACTCTTCTGGGAAGGCTTTCCACTAGACGTTGGAACATTGCTGTGGGGACGTGCTTCCATTCAGCCACAAGAGCATTAAACAGGAAAGGGCCTTCCCCAAACTGTTGCCACAAAGTTGGAAACAAAGAATCGTCTAGAATATTTTTCTATGCTGTAGCGTTAAGATTTCCCTTCACTGGAACTAAGGGGCCTAGCCCGAACCATGAAAAACAACACCACGCAAGATCTCACCCCATGGGGTCAAAATGATCACAAGAACGGTGAGCAAATATCCCAGAACCACACGGGGGGACATTATTCCTCCTCCACCAAACTTTACAGTTGGCACTATGCATTGGGGCAGGTAGCATTCTCCTTGCATCTGCCAAACCCAGATTTGTCTGTCAGATCACCATAACAGTATTTACAGTCGACCGGGGCAGCTCTAGCAGGGCAGCAATTTGACGAACTTACTTCTTGGAAAGGTGGCGTCTTATGTTGCCACGTTAAAAGTCGCTGAGCTCTTCAGTAAGGCCATTCTACTGCCATACACTCTATACACCTGTCAGCAACGGGTGTCGCTGAAATATCCGAATTCACTCATTTGAAGGGGTGTCCACATACTTTTGTATATATAGTGTAGTTTTTTCATGATAGAACACTTGCTTTGTTATCTAACTGATCTTCTGTTCTTTCTGTCATCCTGTGAACCCGTTCATTGCTTCTCGCAGCTATATTTTTTTGTAATTTGAAAGTGGTTTACATGGTGCCAAAGTCCAGGGACAGCATTTCCACCACAATAAAATAACTACTCACATGACCCAAATTACACAGTAAACGAGAATCCCCTGCCTCCAACCAAATTCTGAATAATCTGGTCCAGGACATTTTATTTTTTTTTACCTCGAAGTGAAAAATCTAAAGATATATATTTATATATATATATTTGGGCCAGGCATGTAATACAGGCTACAAAGTATAAATAACCCTAATATCCTTTCGTGTTTCCTTTTATTTTATTGTATTCTATTCACGCTTATTTACATTTTGATTATTGACAGATTCAATAAATGAATGTCCTATCAATTTAAAAAATGAACAAGCACGCATGTATATCACGGCACGAATGACATTCGAGAAGTGTCCTAATACAAATGCGCTTCATTTAGAGTCACTAATGGGTGGAGAGTCTTGTTGTAGGAGATTACACAGATGCGTGTTTGTTGCAGATAACACGTCAGAGGGTGGGAAAACATGGTCCCGATTTCTATGATTGTAACTAAAAGTATATTTCAAACGCTTAATTAGACCTAATGAAATCTTAAACTATGGCATCAAATTGATCTGAAATTATAGACCATCAACTATGGCACAAGTGCACCCTCATGAGGCAGTGTTGGAATGAAACTAATGCAATGCCAATGCCATACATTTTAGATTGGAGATTCGTATTATTAAAATAGTCAAAAGTTTAGTATTTGGTCCCATATTCCTAGCACGTAACGTGACTACAAACTTGTTGGATACATTTGCAGTTTGTTTTTGTTGTGTTTTGGATTATGTTTTGCCCAATTGGACCTGAATGGTGAATAATGTATTGTGTCATTTTGAAGTGCCTTTTATTGTAAGTAAAAATAGATGTTTCTGAACAATTCTACATTCATGTGGATGCTACCAATATTATGGATAATCATGAATTAATCATGAATAATGATGAGTGAGAGGGTTAAAGGGGCAAAAATCTCATACCCGCTAAAAATACTAACCTCACCTGTTATTGGTAATAGTGAGAGGTTAGCATGTCTTGTTGCAGCCTCTGCATGGCATCTCACTCGTCATTATTCATGATTCATTCATGATTTTTCCTAATAATTTCATTATCAGTATTAATTTAGAAGTGTTCAGAAACATCTCATGTACTCACTTCGAAATACAATTACTCCAGTCATCTTTCACCATTCAGTTTCTATTGGGCAAAACATAATCCAAAACACAACCAAAACAAACTGCAAATGCATCCAACGAGTTTGTAGTGTCACACGTTTGATGTAATCGTTGCGTTCAAGGAATATGGGACAAAATAGTTTGACTATGCACTTTAAGTGAATTTGGGGGGGGACGGACGGACGACGACTATATGCCTTCATTTCGGTTAAACAGATATGTATGAAAGTACCCTCAAATGAAAGGTGTCATTCTACTGTTGCCTCATATGAAACATGATATCTTAAATCCAAAATGCTGGAATGTAGAGCCACATTACAATGTCTAGCTTCACTGTCCAAATACATATGTAGTGCAGTGTATGTTACTAAATAGGCTACTCCTTATGGACACTTCAGAATCTATTTGTGGTCAACAGTTTCTGCTGTTTCACGGAAAACCACATATAGTAAGTAGAACTACAGGAGGACCCATTCAAAGATCTTTATGATCTAAAACATGACCTATATCCAACCAATCACATTAACTTTTTCGTCTTTGGTTATCGCCAACCAATCATAATGCACTTTCTCGTCTTGGGGGCGGAGTGCACAAATACCATAAAAAGAAATATGTTTTACAAATGTGTTCATGATTCCGATTCTCACTAGAACCTTAGCTAAATCATCACGAGCAAACATGGTTGAGTGGACAGATGAAGAGCGCGCAGCCATCTCCGACATCTTCTCCAAGCTAGACTATGACGAAGTTGGCCAAAAGTGCCTGTCAAGGTAAGACAATAAGCTTAGCTTTAATTTAATTTGGAGTGTTAGTCCCCTTAATCTTCATCATCTTCATCATTTTATGTTGATGTTCAGCCTCACATTGTTCTCTCCGCTCCCCTCAGGTGTCTGATCGTGTACCCCTGGACCCAGAGGTACTTCGGGGCCTTCGGCAACCTGTACAACGCAGAGGCCATCATGAACAACCCTCTGATCGCTAAGCACGGCACCACGGTGTTGCGCGGTCTGGAGAGAGCTCTGAATAACATGGACGACATAAAGAACACCTACGCGGAGCTGAGCGTTCTGCACTCCGAGAAACTGCACGTGGATCCCGACAACTTCAAGGTAAAATACAAAAGAACATTGAAGTGTAACTTTTTTTTTGTGCGTGCAAGGTATACAATACTTTGTAATTACACCACTCGATCAAGCTACCACCAAAGACATTCTAAACGTCTCACTTCTGTTTTGGTTTGTTCACTTTTACAGCTGCTGTCTGACTGTCTGACCATCGTCATCGCCGCTAAGATGGGCACCACCTTCACCCCCGAGTATCAGGCATCCTTCCAGAAGTTCTTGTCTGTGGTGGTTTCTGCTCTGGGCAAGCAGTACCACTAGAGTCAGTCCTCCATACCTGACAGAGGAGACGTGTTTCACTCCTCAATGAAAAAATAAAAGAAGTATAGAAGCATCTGTTTGTTAATTATGTTTGTTTATTTTATGCGTGCGTAATTGTGTCCATATATATATATATATATATATATATATATAGGCCTAGACGAATTGCACTTTAAGCATGGCTAATATAATAAGACAACTTTAAAGGTTTCAATGGTTATTTCATATTTACACATTATAAATAATACATTAGCCAACATGAACAAGTTGGTGAATGGATGCACATTGTCTAAAAGCCTACAGAGTTGACCCGGCTGAATTGTATACTGTTGCTGGCTGTAAAACACGTGACACACATTCATATGACTATTAACACATAAAAGGTACAAAAACAAAACTATGAAGTGACCACTGTGGGTCATAAAACGAACATCAAAGCATCATGGATGGAATGCGCAATTTCATTATTTTTTTAAAAAGTAAAATAAATATCATTATTGTCCTTTGAGTATTTCACAGTTAATATGCATTTGTCAAAATTATTGACCTTATATTGACACGAGTTTACTGTAGCTGTTGTCCTATTGATATCCAAATATAAAACATAATTCCAGAAATGTTGAATCTCCTGCTAAGATTGTTTTCCGTTTTGTCCCCTGTAGCTCAGTTGGTTGAGCATGGCCCTTGCAACGCCAGGGTTGTGGGTTCGTTTCCCACGGGCTGCCAGTATGAAAAATGTATGCACTCACTAACTGTAAGTCGCTCTGGATAAGAGCGTCTGCTAAATGACTAAAAAGTAAATGTTTGATACAATTGACCTCCACTTGTACATTTAGCAAAAGCTAGTTTGTTTGGTGCAGGAAACTGCACCATATTCATAATGTGTTGTTGTTGACATAGTGGTCCCATTTTTTTTTATTATAAGGGGATGAGATTCAAGTTTCCTATACCAGAACCCTACATGAGCTATATCATTACAGTAGCCTATATGACATGAACCACAGCAACCTAGTCCATGCAGGCCCCTGCAGCAGCTGGCCTCTCCAGCTACGATCCTACATGGGGTTTTAGAATATAAAAATGGCAACACCTAGTGTTATCTTTAACCACATACAGTAGGCCAACACATTATCTGAGAAAATCTATGAGTAAAAGGCATATCTATGCCTTTACATTTATTTAATGAAAGCGTCCTAATAGCATGTATAACCATAGGTCTCTCCAGTGTGTCTATACTCTTCCCTATTAGATGATTCCTCATCATCCCCCAGGATGCTGTAGGAGAAGCCATATATTTGCTGCCACATACATAACACCTTCATGAAGAAAGTGACATAACATTTCCTCGATATCGCGATATCAGGTTCTTCATTCTAGAAATCATTGTATTCGTTGAGAACCTATCGAATGTTGGTTGTCATTCTGTCGTTCCCGCATCTACTAATATCAAGTCACAACTCCGCTGTTAGCAACTCAATCAATTATAAAACGGTCACTCTTCCATTTCCTTAATTGCACAGTTTTAGAAAGTAGAAATTGGTGCAAAGTAGCATTTATTTTCATAAGAACAGCCCAGTGTAATACATACGTCATTGTCAAATTTCAAGCAGTAAGTCTTCATCATCGTTGAGTAAGATATACAGTGGGGAAAAAAAGTATTTAGTCAGCCACCAATTGTGCAAGTTCTCCCACTTAAAAAGATGAGAGAGGCCTGTTATTTTCATCATAGGTACACGTCAACTATGACAGACAAAATTAGAAAAAGAAATACAGAAAATCATATTGTAGGATTTGTAATGAATTTATTTGCAAATTATGGTGGAAAATAAGTATTTGGTCAATAACATAAGTTTCTCAATACTTTGTTATATACCCTTTGTTGGCAATGACACAGGTCAAACGTTTTCTGTAAGTCTTCACAAGGTTTTCACACACTGTTGCTGGTATTTTGGCCCATTCCTCCATGCATATCTCCGCTAGAGCAGTGATGTTTTGGGGATGTCGCTGAGCAACACAGACTTTCAACTCCCTCCAAAGATTTTCTATGGGGTTGAGATCTGGAGACTGGCTAGGCAACTCCAGGACCTTGAAATGCTTCTTACGAAGCAACTCCTTCGTTGCCCAGGCGGTGTGTTTGGGATCATTGTCATGCTGAAAGACCCAGCCACGTGTCATCTTCAATGCCCTTGCTGATGGAAGGAGAATTTCACTCAAAATCTCACGATACATGGCCCCATTCATTCTTTCCTTGCTCTTTGGTCTTGGCCATAGTGGAGTTTGGAGTGTGACTGTTTGAGGTTGTGGACAGGTGTCTTTTATACTGATAACAAGTTCAAACAGGTGCCATTAATACAGGTAACGAGTGGAGGACAGAGGAGCCTCTTAAAGAAGAAGTTACAGGTCTGTGAGAGCCAGAAATCTTGCTTGTTTGTAGGTGACCAAATACTTATTTTCCACCATAATTTGCAAATAAATTCATTAAAAATCCTACAATGTGATTTTCTGGATTTTTTTTCCTCAATTTGTCTGTCATAGTTGACGTGTACCTATGATGAAAATTACAGGCCTCTCTCATCTTTTTAAGTGGGAGAACTTGCACAATTGGTGGCTGACTAAATACCCTTTTCCCCCACTGTATTATTGCATTATATATCAAGAAAATATCATATCTGTTTCATAGTAAGATATCAAAGTCCCTCTTTTCAATTAGAAACATTTTCAGAGAAGTGTTTCTAACCTATATTTAACTCTAATAGATATGGCGGCCACGCCTAGCAATGAACTTGGTTCCTAGAAGTCTACGTCAAACGCAAATAGATTTGCTGTGCTACCGTATATAGCCAAAAGTGATAAGATAAGACAACACCCTAAAAAACTGAGGCTCCATCTCACTCATCAGCATCGTCTCCTCATAGCAAGGGCGAAATTGTGGTGTAGATATTGTGGGGTGAACAGTAAAACGCATTTCCTGCAATTCAACACAGTTTGACATCACTTACAATGCCTCTTATTATGCCACCCGCCTGCAATTCTACACATTTTGCAATGAGGCAGAGAGAAAAATGTGCTTTTTTATAGCTCATTCTCATGCTATTCTTCACATTTGTAAAGAGGATGAGAGAACATTTTGCAGTTTTAAAGCAAAGTTCCTGCAATTTTACACATTTTGCAATGGGGCAGAGAAATTGTTTTGCCATTTTTAAGTTCATATTCTGTTAACTCATACCGAAATAATGTTGTTGCCTCATCCTCGTACTTGTGGGGGGTTGGGGTACGACGACTACGATGACGACACTTGAAAAACCCCACTTCAAACTTTTATATCAAACAGACCATTTAAAAAATGCTTGCTATTTCCTCATAGAGGATGATGTCATCCTACTGAGAAGTATAAGCTGGCCAATCAGCGGTCTACTCACATGAATATTTAATGACCGTATACACCCACATCATTCTGTTGTTAGTTTTTTGCCCACACCATTCCAACACAGAACAGCTGAATTTTAGCATACTTAATTACCCTATTTTGGAAAACAATTTCACTCATATTGTAATTAATTACAGGTAATATTTCTTAGAAATCTGGAAATACTGGACAGTTACTTTAAAGGTCAACTTTGGGCAAAATAAAATAAATAAATAACGGCTTTAATTAAACTGTATAACTGATCAATGCACCATCTTACCAGGTCATTTAATGCTTTAAAAAATGTTTTTTTGATTAATAAGATATTTGGCTATAGAAGTGCCAATTCTTACCGATTTCTACAGCTTCCTTACAAAAACAAATTATGTGAAATGACATCAACACATACTGGAGGAGTTACTGGCTAGCTACAGTGGCTAGCTTAGCTAACCAGCTAGCTACGTCAGTCGTGGCGCCCATGACCAGAATGACACATCGATGAACCATCACAGGCACACCCCATTTCTGTTTGAAAATTGAGAAAGAGGAGGAGTTGGAAGGTTTTTTGTGCCCAAAGTCAACCATTAAAGCTAATTTCCAGGAATTCTACACATTTTGCCATTACTTATGTGTTCACATCGCAATCGACATGTCCCCCTATCCCCCATGGCAATTTCGCCAATGCCTCATAGCCAATAGAAAACGAGTAGAGGTGGGGTTTGGTGACATGTCTTGAACCATAAAAGAGGTGTCAGTCCCTACACCCAAACGAGGGCACTGCGTTCATCCACCTCTGGCCTGCTGGCTCCCCTACCTCTGCGGGGAAAAAAAGAAAAAAAAAGAAAAGAAAAACGATTAAAAACAAAACGAAAAAACATTAAAATTATAAATACAAACAAAAAAAATATCAAAAATAAAAGACTAAACCAAAAAAAAAAAAACATTGTAAAGTGGTTATCCCACTGGCTATAAGGTGAATGCACCTATTTGTAAGTCGCTCTGGATAAGAGCGTCTGCTAAATGACGTAAATGTAAATGTAAAGGTGTCAGGGTCCGTCTAAATTCAGACCCTTCTAAAGCTTAATTTACCCTCTGAATAGCTTGTGTGGTACAACAGAGCCTTTAGTCAAAATGAGCCTGTCAGCTAAGGAAAAAGTCATCGTCAAGGACTTCTTTGAGAAGGTCTCCAGCAGGTCCGAAGAGATCGGCGCCGAGGCTCTCGCTAGGTAAAGATGGAAGACACTTTATCATCAGTTAGGCTACAACGAGGTCTGGTCTATCTAAGCTAATTGGATTTATGGAAATTGTATTAGACATTATTGTGTTAAACAACTCTAATTGAAAACGATCTAACAGGCCTATATACATTTCAAAAAATACAAAACAGTTCCTGAAATGTACTGCATAATTGAGGAATAAATGCATCACTTATCAGATACAGAATGTTATTGATACTGAGTAATTTATATGCTCGACAGAGCAATTACCACTAACCAATCATTTCTCTCGTTTCTCCATTCAGGCTGATCGTGGTGTACCCCCAGACCAAGTCCTACTTCGACCACTAGAAGGACCTGAGCCCCAAAGGCGCTCCGGTTAGGAAGCACGGCATCACGGTCATGGGTGGCGTGTACGAGGCCGTGAGCAAGATCGATGACCTGGCCGGTGGTCTCCTGACCCTGAGCGAGCTGCACGCCTTCATGCTTAGAGTTGACCCCGTCAACTTCAAGGTAATTATCACGAACTATATCCAATGCACCCATAATGCGCTATAGGCGTATGGGCAATGTAGTATTAACCTATACCTATTCTAATCGTTTGCATAAGGCGCCATTGAGCTTTACTCAGAATAATCAAAGTACTGACACTTTGCTCTGTTTGTCCCTTGTCAGATCCTGTCCCACTGCATCCTGGTGGTCTTGTCCATGCTGTTCGCGGAGGAGTTCACCCCTCAGATTCATGTTGCCGTGGACAAGTTCTTGGCCCTCCTGGCCCTGGCTCTGTCCGAGAAGTACCGCTAAAGGACCAATCAGCACCAACACGCCAGCACTCACACCTGCTGTGGTCCTCAGTGTGGAAATAAATTGTCTTCTTCATTGAGAAATAAAAAGTGCAATCAATTAAATCTATAGTTTCTATAGTGTTTCTTGGTACTCTCGTCAAAAATAAGGACTGCTTGTGAGGTAGATAGCGGTAATAAGAGTCTGAGCTAGTCGACCGTTAGAGATTAAACACATTTGATTAAAAACTCTAAAGCAAAGACAACAACTGTCATTAAAAATAAACAAACAAAATATCAAAAAGGTGATGATGACTACTAAATTACAATATTGCTTTTAATATAATAAATTACTTTTAATCAATATTAAAAATAACGAAAATTATATTATTAGTGCATGGGGGTTGGATGCTTTTCCAATGCTCAAAGCGTTTTACATTATAATTTATAAGGAACATTTATACCTCATCCACTAGGCCTTAATTCCAAGCAAACGAAACGAATTAAACTCATATGAAAATGTAATGGAGTCAATTCAACAATTAAGAAACGAACAAATACACTAAGATAAATTTATGAAAAATAATGAAAATGATCGCAATAAAGTGTATTTCTGAAATATTAAGATCTATTTACCCTAGGCTGATGTATTTCACATGACAGGAAACTTATAGATTCATATTTTGTTTTATTACACATGATTCAAATAATAAAACAATTATTTAAATACAAATAATACATAACAATTTCAAGCAAAAAAATATTTTCTTTGAATATTAGGCCTATGATCCTAACATGTTTTTTGTATGTAATATTTTCGATTTATCACATTGGCTGCCTTACAATAGAAGGCAACGAATTAAATAAAAGCTTGTCTGCTTTTGATGTATTCCTATAGCAAAATGTTGTACTTATTGTTTACTGTAGTCTATTTACTGTAGCCTATTTACTGTACTTACTGTACTTATTGTACTTTGGCTCTTTGTATGGGTCATATCGACCCAGAACATAAACCATATAGCCTTTTTGAACATAACACAAGGATTAATACATTGTATTAAACTATTTACAACAATTCTTTAAATAACATACTTTATTTATTTATTACATATGATTATTAAATGAATTATTAATATAATGAATCCACAATGTATTAAGAATGAAAGAAAGGCTAACTTTGAGAGGAGGTAATAGCGTACTATAAGTTACAGATAAACACTGAGAAAAATATTTTTTTTTGTATAAACTGTATGAAAAAGAGACTAAATGATTTGGTAATTGAATGGAAATTAATTAATTAAATGTTTATGTTTCTATGTGCTTTTCCAAATAAATTAAAACGAATATGCAGCAACCTCGGAACAGCATGTCCATAGAACATGGGCTATTGACATTTTAGTTCCTTATGTAGGCTACAGAATTGTTGAAAATATTTACGAGGGCTATAAAAAGAAACATGAAATGAGTTTGAAAACACATAAAACGCCCTAACTTTTATCTAAACTAAGCAGAGATCCAAGTGCAAATCCAAGTGCAAATCCACATCTGTTCCGTGACAGGCACGTACACCTCCACAGTCATTCAATCAGACGCGTCTCCCTACATCTGGCTGTAGTGTATTCTGTTTATAAACCGTTGGAGATGCAGTTAGGCTCAGATCGTTTTCTGTGCAACTCAAGAAACCGAGCAAACAGTCAAAATGGTGGAGTGAACAAATGAAGAGCGCGCTGCCATCACTGATATCTTCTCTAACCTCGACTACGATCGAGTGGGCGCCGAATCCCTGGAAAGGTAAATGCTTTGCTATCCCATCCTCCTGCAAGTTTACATTTCAGTCATTTAGCAGACGCTCTTATCCAGAACGACTTACAGTTAGTGAATACATTTTTTTTTATATACTGGCCCCTCGTGGGAATCGAACCCACAACCCTGGCGTTGCAAACGCCATGCTCTATCAACTGAGCTACATCCCTGCCGGCCATTCCCTCCCCTACCCTGGACGACGCTGGGCCAATTGTGCGCCGCCCATGAGTCTCCAGGTCGCGGCCGGCTGCGACAGAGCCTGGATTCGATCCAGGATCTCTAGTGGCACAGTTAGCACTGCGATGCAGTGCCTTAGACCACTGCGCCACTCAAGAGAATAACTATTCAGTTTAATTCCATAAAACAATTATTTAGGAGTTTTATATTACCGGAATGCAGTAGTCACGAAGAATAGTCTCGGTTTTCCGTCAGGTGTCTTTGGGATTATCGTTCAAATACAACACGATTCTTTGATTTGAGCAGGTTTCAGAGAGTTTAAAGCAGACCTATGACTTTATTTTCCACATGACAGGTGTCTGATCGTTTACCCCTGGACCCAGAGGTACTTCCGGGCCTTCGGCAACCTGTACAACGCAGACGCCATCATTAACAACGCTCTGATCGCTAAGCACGGAATCACTGTGCTGCACCGTCTGGACAGAGCTCTGAAGAACATGGACGACATCGAGAACACCTACACTGAGCTGAGCGTTCTGCACTCCGAGAAACTGCACGTGGATCCCGACAACTTCAAAGTAGGTTTTGAACATAAAGCCAATATTCAATGAATAGTTGTTTGTAATTTGTTCCAAAGTCTGGGCTGCTCAGAAATAGATTTAGGCAGCATTTGTATAATTGTCATAGCATAAACCTAGGCCTACGGGTCATGCCTGTAACCTTCGTTCATTTTATGTAGTCTATAGGCAATAGATCAAGTGGCCTTTAGCTTGAAGTCAGACATTTAGTCAAAAATGTAAAAGATCTAATCTGTTTTCTCCTATATATTTGGTCTGTCCTCTAGCTGTTAGCTGATGTTCTGACCGTGGTGGGAAGATGGGCAACGACTTCACCCCGGAGTGTAAGGAAGTTCTTGTCCGTGGTTGTGTCCGCTCTGGGCAGGCAGTACCACTAAAAGCCCATTCCCTCCCTTTCTCGGCTGGGACTGGCTGGAGAGATCTTGCTGTCCAGTCGCAAGAGCATAGAAAATAAACGACATGCACGTTGAAAATAACTTGTTGGTTTCTTTTGACATACTTTATGAAGAGCCGAAATGGTTTTATGATGAATAGCTTTATCTGTAAATACAACTATGATATTGACCTCTATTCAAAAGTGTGCCTCTTAGTTGACCTATTTTAAAGCAAATAAAATGAGAGAAATAACGAAAAAATCGTGACATTTTCCATAAAGCAAATCACATCTCCCGAGTGGCGCAGTGGTCTACGGCACTGCATCGCAGTGCTAGCTGTGCCACTAGAAATCCTGGTTCGATTCCAGGCTCTGTAGTAGCCGGCCGTGACCGGGAGACCCATGCGGCGGCGCACAATTGGCCCAGTGTCGTCCAGGGTAGTGGAGGGAATGGCCGGCAGGGATGTAGCTCAGTTGGTAGAGCATGACGTTTGCAACGCCAGGGTTGTGGGTTCGATTCCCACGGGGGGCCAGTATTAAAATGTAATCTATTTACTCACTGACTTTAAGTCGCTCTGGATAAGAGCGTCTGCTAAATGACAAAAATTTAAATGAAAGCATATTTCGATTTTTTAATTTAGGTGTACATTGGTTGTGATTAATGGCCCATACTGTAGGCCTCTAACGCGTCATTAAAAGAGAGATCAATGTCATTAGCTGGAACAGTATTTATGCATAGTCACTTTAACTCTACCCACATGTACATATTACCTCAACTACCTCAACTAGCCGGTGCCCCCGCACATTGACTATGCAACGGTACCCCCCTGTATATATAGCCTCCCTACTGTCAATTTATTTTACTGTATATATAGCCTCCCTACTGTCACTTTATTTTACTTCTGCTCTTTTTTCTCAACACTTTTTTGTTGTTGTTTTATTCTTACTTTTTTGTTTAAAATAAATGCACTGTTGGTTAAGGGCTGTAAGTAAGCATTTCACTGTAATGTCTGCACCTGTTGTATTCGGCGCATGTGACCAATAAAATTTGATTTGATTTGATTTGATTTGAAAACGCCAGGTCAAGTTTGTCATACCATGCTGCTATTTTAGCACCTACACAGCTTACAGCACCATATGGTTCTGAACTGCATAAAGATATCAGCAGCATATGGTTCTGAACTTCATATAGATATCTGCGCTATATGGTTCTGAACTGCATAAAGATATCAGCGCCATTGGTTCCGAATTGCATAAAGATATCAGCGCCATATAGTTCTGAACTGCATAAAGATATCAGCGCCATATGGTTCTGAACTGCATAACGATATCAGCGCCATATGGTTCTGAACTGCATAACGATATCAGCGCTATTAGGTTCCGAACTGCATAAAGATATCAGCGCCATATGGTTCTGAACTGCATAAAGATATCAGCGCCATATGGATCTGAACTGCATAAAGATATCAGCGCCATATGGTTCTGAACTGCATAAAGATATCAGCGCTGCTTTTGTGTTGTTGCCGGAGACCAATACATCCAGAAATAGAAACCAGAGAGTAGGCTACAATAAGAGTTCTATAAGAGTTCAGTATGACAACTGCTATCTGCTGGCATCTGCTGATGCGGAAAGTTACAGACGACTTACATGGTGCTTCTATACAAACCAGATTCATAGTCTTTCAAATTAAACAGAAATGCCATTCTGAGGGAGGGGTCTAAGAAATACTCCCATGTCCGCTGTAGGCTACAGGCTGGGCGTCCAGCCGGGCCTGGTCTTTCCTGTCCTAGGCAAATCCCTTTGGGCCAGAGGCAGGGGCTTTGCCCGGCCGGCGACTCGAGGCGGGTGGGGTTGAGCGCCCCCCACTGACAACAATAGTTGAGGTAATTTTTTGTCTGTTTGTTTTTGGAAATGCTATAGAAATGTTGTAATTTATCAATAAATTGAGTTAGTCGCTAGCTTTTTAAAATTGTATTTTAATTGACAATGTCTAAAAGTGATTTATTGAGAAATGGAGTGTAGAGGCTGGCTTTTAGCCAGCCTGCCAGTTTAGTGGATTCTGCCACTAGCACAGTCAGTTTAGTCAGCTCAGCTATCCCCATTGAGAACGTGTCTGTGCCTCGATTTAGGTTGAGCAAAACTAAACATGGTGGTGTTTGCCTTAGAAATCTCACTGGAATAAAGACCTCCATTCCTGTCATTATTGAAAGAGATTGTGATATCGCACTTCTCAAAATAGGGCTACTTAATGTTAGATCCCTCACTAACAAGGCAGTTATGGTCAATGAACTAATCACTGATCATAATCTGGATGTGATTGGCCTGACTGAAACATGGCTTAAGCCTGATTAATTTATTGTGTTAAATGAGGCCTCTCCTCCTGGTTACACTAGTGACCATATCCCCCGTGCATCCCACAAAGGCGGAGGTGTTGCTAACATTTACCCCCCCAAAAATGACTGCGTTTTCGTCTTTTGAGCTTCTAGTCATGAAATCTATGCAGCCTACTCAATCACTTTTTATAGCTACTGTTTACAGGCCTCCTGGGCCGTATACAGAGTTCCTCACTGAGTTCCCTGAATTCCTATCGGGCCTTGTAGTCATGGCAGATAATATTCTAATTTTTGGTGACTTTATTATTCACATTGAAAAGTCTACAGACCCATTCCAAAAGGTTTTCGGAGCCATCATCGACTCAGTGGGTTTTGTCCAACATGTCTCCGGACCTACTCATTGCCACAGTCATACCTTGGATCTAGTTTTGTCCCGTGGAATAAATATTGTGGATCTAAATGATTTCCTCATAACCCTGGACTATCGGACCACCATCTTATTACGTTTGCAATCGCAACAAATAATCTGCTCAGACCCCAACCAAGGACCATCAAAAGCTGTGCTATAAATTCTTGGACAACCCAAAGATTCCTAGATGCCCTTCCAGACTCTCTCCACCTACTCAAGGACGTCGGAGTACAAAAATCAGTTAATGACCTAACTGAGGATCTAAATTTAACCTTGCGTAATACCCTAGACGCAGTCGCACCCCTAAAAACAAAACACATTTGTCACAAGAAACTAGCTCCCTGGTATACAGAAAATACCAGAGCCCTGAAGTAAGCCTCCAGAAAATTGGAATGGAAATGGCACTCCACCAAACTGGAAGTCTTCCTACTAGCTTGGAAAGAAAGTACAGAGCAATATCGAAGAGCCCTCACTGCTGCTTGATCATCCTATTTTTCCAACCTAATAGAGGAGAATAAGAACAATCCAAAATGTCTATTTGATACTGTCGCAAAGCTAACTAAAAAGCAACATTCCCCAAGAGAGGATGCCTTTCACTTCAGCAGTGATTAATTAATGAACTTCTTCAACGAAAAGATCATGATCATTAGAAAGCAAACTACGGACTTCTCTTTGAATCTGTGTATTTCTCCAAAGCTCAGCTGTCCTGAGTCTGCACAAAACTGCCAGGACCTAGGATCAATGGAGACACTCACGTTTCTTAATCCTATATCTCTTGACACATTCATGAAAATAGTCATGGCCTCTAAATCTTCAAGCTGCATACTGGACCCTATTCCAACTAAACTACTGAAATAACTATTTCCTGTGCTTGGCCCTCCTATGTTGAACATAATAAATGGCTCCCTATCCACTGGATGTGTACCAAACTCACTAAAAGTGGCAGTAATAAAGCCTCTCTTGAAAAAGCCAAACCATGACCCAGAAAATGTAAAAAACTATCAGCCTATATCGAATCTCCCATTCCTCTCAACATTTTTAGAAAAAGCTGTTGTGCAGCAACTCACTGCCTTCCTGAAGACAGAAAATGTATACAAAACGCTTCAGTCTGGTTTTAGACCCCATCATAGCACTGAGACCGCACTCGTGAAGGTGGTAAATTACCTTTTAATGGCGTCAGTCCAAGGTTCTGCATCTGTCCTCGTGCTCCTAGACCTTAGTGCTCTTTTGACACCATCAATCACCACATTATTTTGGAGAGATTGGAAACCTTAATTGGTCTACACGGACAAGTTCTTGCCTGGTTTAGATCTTATCTGTCGGAAAGATATCAATTTGTCTCTGTGGATGGTTTGTCCTCTGACAAATCAATTGTACGTTTCGGTGTTCCTCAAGGTTCCGTTTTAGGACCAGCATTGTTTTCACTATATATTTTACCTCTTGGTGATGTCATTTGGAAACACAATGTTAACTTTCATTGCTAGGCGGACGACACACAGCTCTACATTTCGATGAAACATGGTGAAGCCCCAAAATTGCCTACCCTGGAAGCATGTGTTTCAGACATAAAGGAAGTGGATGGCGGCACATTTTTTACTTTTAGAGATGCTAGTTCTAGGTCCCAAGAAACAAAGAGATTTTGACAATTAATCTTGATGGTTGTGCAGTCGTCTAAAAAAAAAACTGTGAAGGACCTCTGCGTTACTCTGGACCCGGATCTCTCTTTTGACGAACATATCAAGAATATTTCAAGGACAGTATTTTTCCATCTTCGTAACATTGCATAAATCAGAATTTTTTTGTCCAAAAATGATGCAGAAAGCTAATAATATGGTTTGTTCAATTGTTTTGGTTTTTACATCCTATTTCTTTCTCGTGTCACATCACAGTGAATGTATGGAGCGATCCTCATTTTACAGTTTTTAGTGATGTCTAATAAGGTTCTGAACATTATCTCTTTGAATATTCACGGATCACATAATCCCGTGAAAAGAAGGAAATGCTTATCCTATCTTAAAACAAAGAGAGTAGATACTGTATTTATAGAACAGACCCACCTATAAAATATATTTTTTAGATTCTTCAAATAGCCACCATTTACCTTGATTACAGCTTTGCACACTCTAGGCATTCTCTCAACCAGCTTCACCTGCATCTTACGAAGACACGGCGGTTGGAACCAAAAATCTTCAATTTGGACTCCAGACCAAAGGACAGATTTCCACCCATCTAATGTCCATTGCTCGTGTTTCTTGGCCCAA